TCTCTCTCTCTCTCTCTCTCTCAAGATAGATAAATAAACATTAAATTTTTTTTAAAAAAGAGTTAGACAACTATTTTTGTTATATCTTTGTTTTTGTGCTCTTTTCTCCATCTTCTCACTTCTCTTCTTGTGTATCTCAGGCAGTGATTTTCCTTCGTTGCATGGCTGACTGCTTTATTTGTGCTCTGGAGCTGATTTCTCTTTGTTTCTTTCAGGACCACATTTCATCAATTATGTACCCTTTTCTTGCATCTTGCACATCTTCTTTACTACTTGACCAATTTTCCTTTCCCTGTAAGCATGTTTGTTACAGATCTTAATATTGTCTAACTCCTAGCTATGCAGCCACTTTGGCTTTGAAAGCAGTGTCTTTCCGGGGCGCCTGGGTGGCGCAGTCGGTTAAGCGTCCGACTTCGGCCAGGTCACGATCTCGCGGTCCGTGAGTTCGAGCCCCGCGTCGGGCTCTGGGCTGATGGCTCGGAGCCTGGAGCCTGTTTCCGATTCTGTGTCTCCCTCTCTCTCTGCCCCTCCCCCGTTCATGCTCTGTCTCTCTCTGTCCCAAAAATAAATAAATGTTGAAAAAAAAAATTTAAAAAAAAAAAGAAAAAAAAAAAGAAAGCAGTGTCTTTCCTTCATTACCCATTTTTTTGAGACAGCAGTGGGTATCTATCTGTTACCATCATTTTGCTGCCACCAGCTCATTTGTTGACTTTGCGAAATCTGGCTAACCTATAAGCATGATATGACGTAGCCTATCTTGAAGACCTTCTTTGTCTGCCTTAACATAACACCATTTTCCGGTGCAGAAATACCCAGCGCTTCCTAAGAGCAAAGTACAAACTCTTGATTGCCAGGCAATCAAGACTTGCCATAGTCTTGATCCAGCTGACTGTACTTCACATCCCATGGCTCCTGTACCCCCTGCATACACTCTAACCAAACTGTATTCCTTGCCATGCTCCAAGCTCTCCTTGCTTTGTTTCTCCAGGGCGTATTTATTGTTGAGGTTCCCTCCATTTTTCTCCATCTAGGTGTTTCAAGGCTGCTCTGGGAGAGAATCCAGGGCTCACCCATATTTGATTCTCCTCTCCTTGGGGGCACAGGGGAAGATTACTCTTTCCTGTCCCCTTGCAGTTAGGAAAGGTGTAACCAGGGCTTTAATCTTTAGTTCAAGAGACTGGGGAGGCAGCATGTTCCAGATGCTGGAAGAGCAAGTCTGAGAGTGATAGAGAGGAGTTCCCTTCACAGCATTGTCCTGGCTGGAGCCTTCTGGGAAAGGGGCAGTGCAGGGGAGAGGAAGGATGGGCTTTAGGTCCAGCCTGAGATAAGTAGCTGAGATATAGGGAGGGAATATGGCCTCTGTGGGGCCAGCAAGGAACCCATGAATTGTAAATACTAAATAGGTACAATGAGGAGCCTGTGTCCTCAAGTCATGAATGCTTCTTGCATTTAGAGCAGGCAAATTTTGAGGCCATTGTTTTGCCTGAGTGTCGTCATGGTGGGCTGTACTCAGAACCTAGAATGCAAAGTTTTGTGCTGGTTCTTACAGATGAGTGATGCATTATATTTCATTTTATATTTTTATTATTTAAAAAAGATTCTTTAATGTTTATTTATTTTTGAGAGACAGAGAAAGACAGTACATGAATAGGGGGAGGGGCAGAGAGAGAGGGAGACACAGAATTTGAAACAGACTCCAGGCTCTGAGCTGTCAGCACAGAGCACGATTCGGGGCTTGAGCTCACAAACTACGAGATCATGACCTGAGCTGAAGTCAGACGCTTAACCGACTGAGCCACCCAGGCACCCCATGATATGTCATATTTTAGATTTTACTTTTTATGCAACACTAGGTGCTAAAAATACAGGCATCTTATTTAGTGCATTATTAAAGCTATGAAGATGTTGCATTATTAACTAAAATTAGGATTCTACTAGATTTTACCAAGAAAGGCCTTAACTGTTTTATCCAAAAGTACAGTGGCCATTTTTCAGTGTTTGACAACCCAGGGGAATGCCTACTGCATATGCCCACATGGAAAAAGATGGAATTCCTACAGTTTGGAGGAAGGCTTTTTTTTTTAAGTTTATTTATCCTGAGAGACACAGAGACAGCATGAGTGGGGGAGGGGCAGGGAGGGAGGGAGACCGAGAATCCCAAGTAAGCTCTGCACTGTCAGCACAGAGCCTGCCTCCGGGCTCAAACTCATGAAACCATGAGATTATGTTATGACCTGAACCGAAACCAGGAGTCAGATGCTTAACAGACTGAGCCACCGAGGTGTCCCTGGAGGAAGGCTTCTGAGGGCTGTTTTGGGATGTCACAGTTTTCAGTGATGGAAATCTTTCCTCTTTGTGCATAATTCACTTAATGTGACTATTTATCATCATCATTAGCAATTACTTTGTTGTGGGGTGTTTGGTTAACTATAGAGCTCACAATGATCCAGATTTGTATCAATGATAATTTTGGTCTATACTTTTCCAATAACCAGATTTAAAAACATATTTATTGCCATGCAAATATGAATCTATTACACTACTGCAGAGTAGACATAATTTAATGCCCCTAGGATTTTAGAAGTTTTTATCATTGTTGGAAAGTAGAAAGGAAAGACCATTTGGCCAGTGAAAGTGTACTATGGTTAAAAAAAAAAAAAAAAAAAAAAAAAAGAAGCTGGAGTCCTCCCACCCTAACACCATTTAGAACAGGCAGGCTAACCCAAGAAGAGGTCAGATCTAGAATTAGCCTATGTCTTTAACATAATATTTAGTGCAATACTATGCCAAAACTAAAAACAGTTATGGAAGGCTAAAAGTAACACGAAAGTCCCCAAAGTGGTTATTCTATCTTAAGGATATTTTCCTACTTCAGTTCCACTTTGATTTTGCATTAAGCCAAACTGGAAATATTTTTAACTCAGAAAATAAAAATAGATTAGTGAATCCATACAAAATGTTATAGATCGAGAGAAGGTAGTCATGTGCATTTTTCTGAGAGGAAATTGGATATAGCTCGTTGGGAATTATTACAGATGCTGAATATTTGCTTTGCCATAATCTTGACCAAGGCAGAGAAGAAACCGTGGGAAAGTCTGAGGGTGGGTGGATGGCAGAGATTGATATGGTGGAAACCTCTGGGTTAAAAACCACTATGTGTTTTTTAAAAGAACATTTGCATTTTGAAACAATTACAGACCCACAGGAAGTTGCAAAGATGGTGCATAGAGGTCCCATGTATCTAGCTTTCTCCTGTGGTTAAAGTGGTTATATCTTGCTCAGCTATAGTTCAATTGTAAAGTCAAGAAGTTGACATGGATACAATGTGTATATATATATATATATATATACACACACACAATGTGTGTGTGTATGATGTGTTTATTTCTTTCACCTATGTAGATTCATGTAACTACCTCAGCATTCATGATACACAACTCAAGATATGCACCATAAAGATCTCCTTCATGCTGTACTTATGTGTAATTTCTAGGGTTTTTAGCCAAACTTAGGAAGAGGAACAAGGAAATGTACATCTATTTCATCTTCTGGAAGTGGAGTTCTCTGTTTTGCTTTTTTATTTCTTTACTAAAAAAATTTTTTTTAGTGTTTTTTTATCTTTGAGAGAGAGAGAGAGCGCACAAGTGGGATAGGGGCAGAAAGAGAGGGAGACACAGAATCTGAAGCAGGCTCTAGGCTCTGAGCTGTACTGAGCCATCCAGACACCCCTCTGTTTTGCTTTTTAAATGTATGTGAATAATTCTTCTTTTTTAAAAAATTTTAATGTTTATTTATTTTTGAGAGAGAGAGAGACAAAGTGCAAGAAGGGGAGGAGCAGAAAGAAAGGGAGACAGAATCCAAAGCAGGCTCCAGGCTCTGAGCTGTCAGCACAGAGCCCGACACAGGGCTCGAACTCATGAACAGTGAGATTATGACCTGAGCCGAAGTCGGACGCTCCACCGACTGAGCCACCCAGACACCCCTGTGAATAATTATTCTTATACCCCAATGTTCAATAACAGACCTAGGTACCTTATGGTATTTTATGCAGCCGCTAACATAATGGTCACAAGACAATCTTATATGTTTATTAGGATTGAAAATGCTTACATGACATAGTAAAAAAATACGTTACTCAACTATGTGCATATGTAAATATGATTACCACTATATGGAAAAACCTATTGTAAGAAAGAAAACTGTAAGTTCCCAAGATACCGAGAATGGATATTTCGGGTGTTGAATTATAACTGATTTTTTTCCCCTTTCGTGTGCCAAATTGAAAAAAAAAATGGAATCTTGAACTTTTGTAATTACAAATAAAATAAAATTTATTCCTAAAGTTCCAACTGTCTTCCAAGATATATGACATTTTGCATTGATTAGTTAACCTGTTGTAATTGAGGAGTTAGAAAACTATCTTCAGCTTTGGTTTGTGCTAAATCAAACTGTCGGCATGGGTTTAGGCAATTACCTTGGCATCACATGGTTATCACATCTGCAGTAATAAGCCACAAAGTTTATATTTACCATGCTAAAAAAAATGGAATACATTTTATTTGGAGATTAGCAAGAAAGCTTTATAGACTCCTAGAATATCACAAATAAGCTGGCAGGAGAGGAAATGATAAAGCAGAAATATACCAAGGATGTTTAGAGGACAAGTTCAGGATAGAAACCCTTTTTTAAAATTTTATTTGAGAGAGAGAGAGAGAGAGCATTAGCAAGAGGGGAAGAGGGGCAGAGGGAGAGAGAGAGAATCTCAAGCAGGCTCCACGCTCAGTGCAGAGCTTGACTTGGGCTCAATCCCACGACCCTGGGATCATGACCTGAGCCGAAACCAAGAGTGGGACACTCAACCGGCTGAGCCACCCAGGCTCCCCAGGATGGAAAACCCTTCTTGACTTTCAAGTTTGGATGTCTCTGACTGAAGCCCTCATCTCCTTTCCAGGACACTGCTGGCTTTGAAGCCTCCATCCGCCTCGCTGGGGATTTAGCATTCACACACAGCAGTTTTCCAGCGTGCAAATCACATACGCGGAGTATGGCTCACAAGTGTTGTCTGACGTGCTTGTGGTAGAACATGGGTGACAGGGAAGCCTGTGGAGAAATTTGAACTAAGTTCAACAGGGGAAAGCTGGATAACATTTCAAGTCAGAAAAGATTGTGCCCAAATCTGCCACTCTTTGAACGCTCTTTGCAGAATAACATTTGACTTAAGCCTATTTTATGCCTGGACCCAGCATTGTCGCTTCGTGCCCATTGCAGCTGTGCCAGCTCAATACAACTATATGTATTTACTTCACTTTGCAAAATGTCCTCTTATGCCTTTGGTGGGAGGCAGGAGCCAAGGGAGATCTCCAGCATGGAATTTTATGTGTGATACTTATTCTGCTTTAGAACTTAGAATACTTTGTGAACACTTCTAATATCGTGTGATTAGCCTCAGTCATGGTTGTTGTTGTTGTTGTTGTTGTTGTTGTTGTTGTTTTTTAACTCTTGTAAGGAGATCCTTTAACACATTAGAGAGGTTTGACCTTGGGCAGATCTTGGGGAAACAGGATTCTCCTACAAGAGCCTCTTTGTGACTTGGGGGATTTTGAGAATAAACGTGTGGAACTTGCCTGCTGTCCTCACTCTCAAGGAGACCCCGGTACGTGTTGATCTCACACTCCAGCCGGGCCTTTGTGTCCAGCAGCACCTCGTACTCCTGGTTCTGCCGCTCCAGGTCACAGCGGATCTCCGCCAGCTGGTTCTCCACGTTATCGATCAGGCACTGCATCTGGGCCAGCTGTGCACCGTACTGGGCCTCAGTCTCTGCCACAGTGCATTCCAGAGATTCTGTCTGCAGAGGAAGTGTACTCAGGAGGGCTGTATAACATAATCCCTGGGATCAGAGTGCCTGTTTCCAAAGCCTTGCTCTACCCTAGTGTAGCCTAGTGACATTCTGAAAATTACTTAGCTTCTCTGAGCCTTAGTTTTATTCTATAACAAGTGGGCAATGCAAAGTACCTATCTCCTAGGAGGGTCGTGAGGATTAAATGAGTGATATGTGTAAAGCATTTTGAAGAGTTCCTGAAAAAAAAAACTTTAAAAGCTAGGTAAGAGTTATTACTAACACCCCCAAGCCCGCTGCAACCTTCAGTATACTGAAGTTGGGTATCGACTTGAGGCAGGGAGGAGCCATATAGTGGGAGTTAAGAGGCTCTGGGATTGAACCAGCTGGATCCAGCTTCCACTTTTGCCTCTTAAAAACTGCATGATCCCTGCAACTTAATCTGAATCTCAGTCTTCCTCATCTGTATAACGGGCTTAGTAAAGGGATTTATCCCATAAAGTAAGGCTCTCACAAGATGAATGCACAGCTGTCATTCACCTAGTCTCCATAGGGCCTAACGTGGCACAGACAGGGGTGTTTGACTGGAACTGGCTAGTGTTATCTTCAGTGCACGGTATCCTCGTTGCTTGGTGGGGGTCGGGGGGGGGGGTTCAGTGAAGGGTCCAGTTGAGATTGGATCCTGGGAAAGTTTAGGATAGTGGTAGAATGCAGAGTTTGAATACCATTGTTTTCTATGATGGTGAGCTTGGAAACCTGGCCCGAATCAAAAGAGCTTCAGGGGCGCCTGGGTGGCTCAGTCGGTTGAGTGACCGACTTCGGCTCAGGTCACGATCTCACGGTTTGTAAGTTCGAGCCCCGCATCGGGCTCTGTGCTGACAGCTCAGAGCCTGGAGCCTGCTTCCGATTCTGTGTCTCCCTCTCTCTCTGCCCCTCCCCCACTCATGCTCTGTCTCTCTCTGTCTCAGAAATAAATAAACATTAAAAAAAGATTAAAAAAAAAAAAAGAGCTTCAAAACCCACTGGAAGGCTCGAGTGCCTTTGGCTCAGAGGTTCTGTTCTCATTCTGCTCCTGCTCTTCCCCTCTCTCCCTGTCTCTGGAAGGTGCTGCAGGATCACACTCAAGCCCAGAAGGGACGGTCAGGGCATCCCGTTGGGACAGTACAAGCTGTTGACCTATCGCTTCTGCCCCTAGCTCAGTAAACAGCAGTATTTAGGAAAGGCAAGGAAATATACTCCTTGCACATTGGAAATGGAGACTTTCTGCCACATGAACTGTGGGGCTGTCTCCTCGGGGTTTGGAAGAGGGGATGGCATCTCGGGGCCTGACTCCTCAGTATGTGAGTGGCATACCAGGCTTTGCTGTGCTTGGAGCTCAATTTCCAGAGCGTTGGCTGTGCGTTTCAGTTCCAGGATCTCTGTCTGGCAGTCCTGCAGCTGCTCCGTGCTGCACAGCTGCTGCTGATTCAGCTCCTCTGTCTGAAACACAGGTGTGATCAGAGGACCCAAGTAAGACAGACATCTGGAAGCCTGTCACCTTCCTGCTCCAGGAGCTGACCTGAACAGCGAACCATTCTTCCACGTCTCTGCGGTTGTTGGCGAGCACCATTTCATACTGACAGCGCATCTCATCCAGGACCCTGTTGAGGTCGACGGTGGGGGCAGTGTCCAGCTCCACGCTGAGTCGGTCACCCAGCTGTCCGCGAAGCAAGTTGACCTCCTGAATGGGGGAATGGAGTCAAGAGTGTGACAGGGTGGGTGGGCGGGGGAGGGGGGGGATTCACTTTGACATCCCAAGGGCATCGCATTTCTGTTTTGGGGGAGGAGTGAGTGAAAGTGTAAAAAATCTAAAGGGATTTAGATTCAGTTGCTTGGGTTGCAATCTCTTTTCGTAGCTCAGTGTCTGCATCTGCAAATGGGTATAATAATTTTACCGTTCCCAGAGACTTATTGTGAGAGATACGAGTTAATGTTTATAGAAAGCACTTATGAAAGCCCTTGGCACATAGGAAGGTCTCAATAAATGCTATTATTATCATCAACCAATGCTCAAAGGGGAAATGTACTATATTACATCTTTCAGCTTTTCACCTTTTAGCCTCATTGATGTGAGATAATCAGATACTTCATATTTTATGATTTTAAAAAGTTTATAGGTACAGAATATTTTAAAAATTTGGCCCAAATATTGCATAAGGTGTTATCCCCTTTTTGAAATGGCCTTCACACCCTGTGTTTATCGATAATCCAGATTTTCAAACCTTATAGGTTAGAGTTAGGTAAGCCATAAAGCCTCCAAGGAAGGCTGTTTGTGGGAGTTACCCCCTCCAGACAGCAATGACAGGTGGACAGTTTGGTTCATCCCTGTGGCACTGGCCAGGGCCATTTCACATGTACATCCAGAGACATGACATGCTGCCATGATCAGGCCCAACAGCATTAGTGCCCTGAGTACTTTTGTTCTAGCATGAGCGGTATCTGCCCAAGTTCGATTTAGGTACACAACACAGACTGTATCAGTTTGACTTTGTCCCTTCTACATTTGTTCAGCAATTTTGCCACTTTCCTCACCTCTTCGTGGTTTTTCTTAAGGCAAAGGAGATCGTCCTTCAGAGACTCCACGTGGGCCTCCAGATCGGCTTTGCACAGAGTCAACTCACCCAGGATCCCACGCAGGCCGCCAATGTCCGTCTCCAGCAGCTGGCGAAGAGACAGTTCAGACTCGTACCTTTCACGGCAAAAGAGATACAGCCAATGCTTACTTGGCTGGAGACAGTGCTGGGGATGCTGGGGGGTGACAAGAGGACTCAAGGAAGCCACATCCCAAATAATAAATGTGAATTTTGTGAGCATTCTTAGCTTTAAAAAAGCTTATAGAGAGAATATTTGTGGTGTGTGCACACGCACTTGTGTGTGTGAGACAGAGAGAGCGAGAGAGAGAGTGAGAGAGAGGCAGTCATAAATTATTCTCAAGTTCAAATTCAACTTACTTTGACCTGAAGTCATCGGCAGCCAGTTTGCAGTTGTCAAGCTGAACAGCAAGTCTAGAATTCTCTGCCTTTGTGCACAAGATCTGGGAAGGAAGGTCGTTCTATGTAATAGATGGCCCTTTGAAAGAAACCTAAATATCTATTCATTTAACAACTATGCCATTATTTATCTTTTAAAAGTCTTTATAAGAAAGTATAAAATAGCTTTCAGCCTACTTCTCTTATTAGCCATGTCACTTCATGACGAGACAAGCAGGACCAATTTATAAAAGAAATAGATAAAAAAGGTTAGTTTTTCAACGGCCTAAGACATTTTGCAATATTCCTTGACAGTTGAACTCTGATTTTTCTCCATACGTGGTTTGTATTATGACTCTATCCCCACTCCATGAAAATAAAAATTCATCTGTAAGAAAATGATTCCTAGGGTGAAATTATGTGATTAAAACGATGACATTTCAATATCTATGTTAAAATATAAATATAAACACCCAGTGTTGCATACAGAATTAACTTTGGGTATAACACAGTTTTTCCTTACTCTCTGGACGATGAAGGTAAAAGTCTGGACATGAGAGAGTTTATTATGGCCGTCAGGGATTACTGGCATCCCCAGGGCTAATGCTGACGTTTCCCGACTTTCGGCCCACCACCCTTTCCTCTGGGTCACATTACCTCCTGAAAAGTCCCCTTTCCCTGGGGGGACTTCCATAGAATAGCCTCTTTTAGTATAAAGGTGGAGCAAATCCCAGATTGGAAGGGTGGAACATTAGGGCAATGAGACACCAGACCTTTTGCTGGAGATCTTCAATGGTGTCGAAGTAACACTGATAATCGGGGCACACCAGGGGGACCTCCCCTTCACACTGTTCTCGGATCCTGCACTCCAGCTCCGCGTTCATCTCCTCCAGGCCTCGCACCTTCTCCAGGTAGTTGGCGAGTCTGTCGTTCAGGAACTGCATCGTCTCCTTCTCGTTGCTGTTGAACATCCCATCCTCACACCAAGCACCGCTCCCCACCAAGCACGGAATGTGACAATTCCCAGCCAAGTAGCACGGTGTGACACAGCCTGTTGCCAAGCGAGACCCAGATAGGAAGCTAGGGGTCTGGCCTCTGGAGGTGGCTTGGGCGCTGGGGAGGTGAGTGGTTTCCATGGAACAGGGTGAAGCGAACACACAGTCGGAAGCTGTGGCACAGGATTCAGAGGAGCAGCACGTAGGGGAGCAGTCCGAAGTCATCCTATCGAACAAAGAACCAAGACTAGTTGCAAAACTCCGGCTGACTGGCTGCCGAGGTCTCCTTCCCTCCTGAGACTTTTATACAGTCCCCCAAATGGGTATTTACGGAACAGACCGGATGTTTTCCTTATCACTGTTGGTGGCAGTTGTCATATGAACACTCATCAGGGTTGTTTGTTTGCTGAGGAAGAGTTTTATGCTTCATAAAAGAGGCATAACTTCAGGTTACTAAAAAAGGACACTATTTCCATATGCCAATAGGATAAAATGTTTGGTCCAGAATAAAATCTTCTTAGGAAGCGCTGTCTGTTTGGCAGACTTTGGAAAGATGGAGAAAATGTGGCCCCTCAGTAATTATAGGTACAACTCATTACAAATAACGAAAACAATATTCCCACACATTTTGATCCTGGGCACTGGAAATTTTTTATGTATCCTCTTAAAATTCATATTACATCTCATTAAATGCCATTTATTTGTTTGTGCCACCATCATAAAAATGTTCCCTGTAGTTAGCAGTCTTTTCAGTGCTTTTTATGGTCTTGCTGTGCTCAGATGGTGGAGGGGTGAGGTGTGTTCTGGGTTTAAAGTGTGTGTGTGTGTGTGTGTGTGTGTGTGTGTGTGTGAACCATGTCTACCTGTGCACACATTGAAAAGTCACTTTATGTAACAGATGGGTACGATCTGTGCCCTCCAGGCCAAAAGACAAATTGGTTACCAAGATCTGGAGTTGTGATCTATGATTTCCGGAAATTTCCTTGCTTTCTCCACATTTCCTATGCCTAATTTTTATTTATTTAAAAAATTTTTTAAATATTTATTTTTGAGAGAGAGACAGAATGTGAGTGGGGGAGGG